AAAGGATTAGGGAGACCATGGATCCACAGAGACGAGGCTTCTGTAGTAGTCTAGGTGAGAGATAAGGGTGGTTTGGATAAGGTGGCAACGAACTAGGATAAGATCAACTTCCCAAGGGGAGCTGAGGAAGTCGGGGAGCCGCAGCTAACTCAGTCTCAAATAGAGGCACCAATGCTAAGAAACAGTACAGCAGAGTGATTAAGACTTTGGGCATTGGAATTAGATACACAGATTTGAGACATAACTCTTCTACTTACTGCTGTGTGACTTTACACAGATTTCTGTAAATTGGGGATAATAGTACCTATACCACAAGTTATTGTAGGGATTAAATCAGACTATATGATAAAATGCTAAGCAAGTAATTAATGCTAATTCAATAATTACAGTATTGTTACTTTCTGGAATTTAGAAGTCACCTCTAGAAAAAGGTGTCAGAGGGAAAAAGTTTTTTCTATATTTATTGGAAATCTTTAGAGAAAACCATCTCCAAATCTACAAATTTACAGACTTACTGAGCATCCATTTTCAGCAATCACTTGCAAGAACAATATACATTGGTTATTGATTGTAGTTTTGATTTTGAGGTAGGCTTTCAAAGGAAATGGGCCTGAGATAGGCTTTCACAGAAAATGAGCCTTATGTAAAAATATTGACATATATATAAAATTTGTGATCTTAACATCTGTGATTAATGTGATTAAAATTTTGTCCATCTTTATTTGATATAATATAAAAAGCAAAACAAAAAGTGTGAAAAAGAGTCCCTTTAGACTCAATTACATGCCATCATTTTCTAAACTTCATTATTTACTTACTATTAAAGGCTTATGAGTTAATTAATGTCCTGTGAATCACAAATCAATTATTTCACAATGAAGCATAAAATTAGTTTAAGAGATTCATATATAGGCATGACATGGTGTATTGGCTTCTCTTCAGAAGTGGATCAAATAAAACTATGTGACAAGAAAAAAATGTAGATGACATGTTAGGTGGTGGGTAACTAATTGTGCTTTCAGCATAGGAACAAAAAATGCATGACCGGAATTCTAAAGAGCTTGCCTTTGCATTTTTGTATAAAACTTATAATGGCTTCATAAACATAAAATACTCTCCAAATGTGATTCAATTGAAGGACATCTTTAGTTTACACACCTAAATGAAATAATGTATGTTAAGTGCCCAGCCCAGGGACTGGCATCTCGTATTTGTAGAATAATCTTTTTCCTTTTCCTTCCCCTCAGGTGCCCTCTGCAGTTATTTAATTGCAAATTTTACTAAAAGCACCTTTGTTATGCTCTTTTCTGAAATTTTATGTGTAACACATGCTTATTGCAGTTAACTTGGAAAACACAGAAAACAACAACAAAATGGTCATCTGTGATCACACCCTAGAGAGAACTACTTTTGATATTAAGGTATATTTTATTTTAATACACTGTTTCTAGAATATTCATTTGGAATTCACAACCTTGGCTTTAAATAATTTGTTTCATAGAGCACATGATAAAGAGACTTAGCCAGCTAGGGTCTATGTTGTTATTTTTGAAGAACAGAACAGATCATAATTGCCAAATTGCCAGGCTGTCCAGATATTTTTCACTTGTTCAAATCTTTTAAAAATAAACCTTATTTTAAGAAACAGTTTTAGATTTACAGAAAAATGGCAAAGATAGTACCATGTAACCAGTTTCTCCTAGTATTAACATCTTGCAGAAGTATGATATGTGTGTTAACAATTAATGAGCTGCATGCTATTGAATATTGAATACTATTCAATACTATTCATAACTAAAGCTCAGGCTTTATTCAGATTTCCATAGTTTTTACCTAATGTCCTTTCTCAGTTTCAGAATCTCATCCAGAATACTACATGGCATTTAGTTGTCGTTTCTCCTTAAGTTCCTCTGGACTGGGAAAGTTTCTTAGATTTTCCTTGTTCTTAATGACCTCGAGAGTTTTAATGAGTACCTGGTCATATATTTTGTAGAATGTCCTTCACTTGGGATATTTTGATGTTTTTCTCATGATTAGCCTAGAGTTATGAGTTTTTGGTAGGGAGACAACAAAGGTAAAGTACCATTTCATCACATCCCTATCAAAGGAAGATGCTGTCAACATGACATCTCTATTGATGTTGATCTTGACATCTGGCTGCGGTAGTGTTTGTCCAGTTTCTGTACTGTAACGTTACTCTTTTTATCCCCCTTTCCATACTGTGCTCTTTGGAAAGAAATCACTATGCACCACCAATACTTAAGGAGGGGGGAATTGTGCATCTCCTTCTGGATAGTAGAGTAGCTGTATAAATTATTTGGAATGCTGCATGGGAGATTTGTTTATTCTCTCATATGTATGTGTATATGTATGTGTATATTATATATATATAATTTATCTAAGTCAATATGAACTCATGGATATTTAGTTTGTACTTTGGGCTATAATCCAATACTTCCTTATTTTATTGCTCAAATTATAGCTTTGGCCATTGTGATCTCTTTCTGTTGGTTATTGTGTCCTTTTGAATACACTCCTTATTGGAGTCTTTTTTTTTTCTTTTTCTTTTTCTTTTCTTTTCTTTTTTTTTTGAGTACTTACATTCTGGCACTATAAGGTGCCCTAGATTCATTTTGTAAATTTCCGGTGGGGTGCCTGTTGAGGGGGCTGAACCGCTGTGGGGAGACAGAGGAATCCAGATTCAGCTTTTCCCGCTTTTGGGCTCAGTGCCCCTGCTGTCTTGTGGTGGGACAACAGACAAGGGTGTGATTTCTGAGCCCTGAAAGCAGGAACCGGAAGAGAAGAACAAAGTGTGACGTTGAGTGTGCTAGACTGGTTCCTAGAGCAAGAATTAAATGATCAGGGTCACAACATTGGGACACTTTAGGGCTACGTCAAGAAATAAGCCAAAGTACACATGGTGAAGAGTCCCAAATACCACTACAAGTAGGGTAATAAAATAGCCAAAAAACAAGAGAGACCAAGAGACAACATTAAAAGAACACTTCCTGAACGGACAGGCCCTAGACAGTCAATGAGCCTTCTTTAATATAGCAGTACTTGCAGGGGCAGAGCACATAACAAGCTTTTAAAACTAACAAGAGACAGAAAGCTAGCCAAAATGACAAGATGGAAGAACTCTCCTCTAAAGAAATTCCAGGGAGAAATGACAGCTAAAGAGCTGCTTAAAACCGATATAAGCAATATAACTGAACCAGAATTTAGACCAATAGTCATAAAATTAATCGCTGGGCTTGAAAAAAGCATGGAAGAAGATATCAGAGAAGCTATTGCTGCAGACTATGGAGCTTAAAAATAGTTGTGATGAATTAAAAACTGTTATAAATGAGGTGCATAATAAAATGGAGGCATCCAATGCATGGATTGAAGAGGCAGTGAGGAGAATAGTTGAATTAGAAGACACAATTATAAATAAAGAGGAAGCTGAGAAAAAGAGAGATAAACTGATCCAGGAACACGAAAGGAGAGTTCAAGAGCTCAGCGATACAATCAAACAGAACAATATCCATATCATAGGAATTCCATAAGAGGAAGAGAGAGGGAAAGGCACTGAAGGAGTATTTGAACAAATTATAGCAGAGAACTTCCCCAATCTGGGGAAGGAAACAGACATTGTAATCCAAGAGGCACAGAGAACTCCCCTCAGATATAACTTGAATCGATCTTCTGCACAACATATCATAGTGAACCTGGCAAAATATAAGGACAAAGAGAAAATTCTGAAAGCAGCTAGGGATAAAAGGGCCCTAACATTTTGGAAATTTCCTGTCCTTGTCCCAATCTGTGTATAATTAAAATTAAAATCAGTAGGGTCTAGAATCAGTGACCCTATATCAAATTCTGCTTAACCATTTACCAGCTATGTGATCTAGAACTGTTTTAGAGGCACCTGGGTGGCTTAGTCGGTTAAGCGTCTGACTTCAGCTCAGGTCATGATCTCGCAGTTTGTGAGTTCGAGCCTCGCATCGGGCTCTGTGTTGACAACTCAGAGTCTGGAGCCTATTTCGGATTCTGTTTCTTCCTCTGTCTCTGCCCCTCTCCCGCTCACGCTCTGTCTCTCTCTCTCAAAAATAAACACTGAAAAAAAAAATTAGAACTGTTTTACCTTTTGAGAAGTGAGCAGGACCCAGTTTCCTCATCTGTCTGAACTTTTTTAGGGCAGGGATGTGTTTTGCTTTTGTTTCTCTACTGATACTCAGTACTTAGACTTGTGTCTGGTACATAGTGGTGTTTAAGAAAGAAATATTTGTTGAGCAAATATAAAATCAGTTAATTTCTTATTTTGTCCTGAAATATACATCTAATTTATTATTTTCAATGTAATTTCATTAATATCAAAGTAATATATGGTTAAAGATGAAATGGTACTTCAAGATTTTTTAAATGTTTATTTAGTTATTTTGAGACAGAGAGAGAATGAGTTGGGGGCAGAAGGAGAGAGAGGAGTGAGAGAGGATCCCAAGCAGGCTCCATGCCATCAGTGTGGGAAATCTATGCGGGGCTTGATCCCACAAACCATAAGATCATGACTTGAGCTGAAATCAAGAGTTGGCCACTTAACTGACTGAGCCACCCATGCTCTTCAATATTTTGAACGAAATAATCATCTTCTAACTCATTCCCTTTTAGTTTCCTTAGCTGATTGTTTTGATATCTATCTCCATATGTCTAAATTTTATTTTATCTATCTATTCATTTATTTATTTGAGAGAGAGAGAGAGATAGCACATGCTCATGCAGGGGAGAGGGGCAGAGGGAGAGAACGAGAGAGAGAAAATCTCAAGTAGGCTCCATGTTCAACATAGAGCCTGATATGGGGGTCAATTCCACAAGCCCCCAGGAACATGATCTAAGCCGAAATCAAGAGTCAGACACTCAGCCAACTGAGGTACTCAAACGCTCCTCCTTACGTCTAAATAACATGTTTTTATTGTTGCTTCTTGATTTATACATTTTATATATTGTCTGTTCACTTCTAGCTATGGAAGATGAGGATCCAGCACACACACTGTATCTTCTTGTCTTCCAATTCTGGTTTCAATATGAACCAGAGACCATTAGGAACACCCCTGAAATCAAGTGAAGTTTATTATTTTCTGCAACAAAGGAGACCCTACATCATGCAGAGCAAAGGTGAGTTTCAAAGGGAGTAAGAAAGGGGTCTTATAAAATTTGCCTTGGTTTTAGCAGGGATTGGTCAAGTTTTGTAAATTAAGGAGCAGATGAAACATCAGTGGTTTTAGAAAACATGAGCTATGTGGAGATTCCCTTGTATCAGTTTATTTGTGGTCTTATGTATAGGAGTCTGAATAAACTGGTGTTAATTGTGAGAGTCTATAATGAATATCATAGTTTGGTTTGGTACAGTTCTGCGAATCAGTGCACATTTTACAAGATGTAATTTATGAGTCAATTCTCAGTTTCTGTGTAACATCCTAGTTTCCAGAAGACTTACTTTTCAATTTATCACACTAATATAATTCTATTAAAAGTGTGGTTAAATTAATATTTGGTACTTACATTTATACAACTTTTTTGGAAGTGGAGCCATGTAGTATACTTTTCTTCCTTTCCCTCTTCTCACTTTCCCATCTTATATGTAGACATTCAGAGGGCAGGCGTTACTAGTGGAGCAGGCTCAAAACAGGTCTTACAACCTGGTCTATAAACTTGAAGAAGTCCTTGATCTCTGTCTTTTAATTTGTTTCACACTGTGTATAAGTTTGAATGAAATAAATCCAGCAATATTCCTGAAATTAGATACTTTACCCTTTAGAAAATATCAAGCAGTTAGAAATTTTGCTAAGCTAATAGCTGGTCATGGGATCAATTTTGGAATGAATATAACAGGTATCTTTATTTTTATTGGTTGCTAGTCTTCTTATTATTTAGTTTTAAGTAAGTGTTCCTTATATATTTTTGGCACAAAGTTTTATCATATTATTTTTTATTTTGAAATAAAATATATCCAAATATTTTGGATAGTTTATTTTTTATTTTGAATGTTTTCTCTTAGTCTGTGGCTATCAATGTCTTTTTTTTTTTTAATGTTTATTTATTTTTGAGGGAGAGATAGAGCACAAGCAGGGGAGGGGCAGGGAGAGAGGGAGACACAGATTCTGAAGCAGGCTCAAGGCTCTGAGCTGGACATCGGGCTTGAACCGACAAACCGTGAGATCATGACCTGAGCTGAAGTCAGATGCTTAACCGATTGAGCTACCCAGGCACCCTTGTTTCATTTTTTTAATCTGCCTCCCAAATCTTTTTTTGTTTTAATTTTAATTCTAGTATAGTTAACATATGGTGTTAACATTAATTTCAGGTGTACAATATAGTGACTCAATAATTATACATTACTCAGTGCTCATCATGATAAGTGTCCTCTTAATCCCTTTCACCTATTTCACCAATCCCTCTACCCATCTCCCCTCTGTTAACCATCTGTTCTATATAGTTAACGGTGTGGATGGAGCTTGAGAGTGTTATGCTAAGTGAAATGAGTCAGTCAGAGAAAGAACAATACTATATGATTTCACTCATATGTGTAATTTAAGAGACAAAATAAACAATCACAGGGGGAAAAAAGAGAGAGGAAAACCAACTAACAGACTCTTAACTAGAGAGAACAAATTGATGGTGACCAGAGGGGGGACTGGGAATGGGTGAAATAGGTGATGGGGATTAAGGAGTGCACTTGTGATGAGCACTGGGTGTTGTATGTAAGTGTTGAATCACTAAATTGTACACCTAATACTAATATTATACTGTATGTTAACTGGAATTTAAATGAAAACTTAAAAAAAGAATCTTGTTTGTTCATTTGTTTTGTTTCTTAAGTTCTACATATGAGTTAAGTCATAAAGTATTTATCTTTCTCTGACTGACTTATTTTACTTAGCATTATACTCTCTAAACCCATCCATGTTGTTGCAAATGGCAAGATTTCATTTTTTTTTTATGCTGAGTAACATTCTGTTGTATGTATGTGTATGTATATGTATACATCTTCTATATCCATACATCTATTTATGATAGTTGGGCTGCTTCCATAATTTGGCTATGGTAAATAATGCTGCAATAAACATAGGGGTGCAAATATCTTTTCTAATAAGTGTTTTGTATTCTTTGGGTAAATACCCAGTAGTAGTAGAATTGCTGGATGTTATGGTAGTTCTATTTTTATTTTTTTGAGAAAAATCCATGCTGTTTTCCACAGTAGCTGCACCAGTTTGCATGCCCACCAACAGTGCAAGACTTATCCTTTTTCTCCATATTCTTGCCATCGCGTTTCTTGTTCTTTTTTATTTTAGCCATTCTGACAGGTATGAGGTATCTCATTGCGGTTTTGATTTTTGCATTTCCCTGATGATGAGTTTTCTTGAGCATCTACTCATGTGTCTTTTGGCCACCTGTATGTGTTCTTGGGAGAAATGTCTCTTCATGTCTTCTGCCCATGTTTTAACTGAATAATGTTATCTTATTTTTTTGGTGTTGAGTTGCAGTTCTTTATATATTATATATTATAGATACCTTTTATCAGATATATCATTTGCAAATATCTTCTCCCATTCATTAGGTTATCTTTTAGATTTGTTGATTATTTCCTTTGATGTGCAACAGTTGTTTTTTTTTTAATGTAGTCTCAATAGTTTTCTTTTGTTTCCGTTGCCTCAAGAGACATATCTAGAAAAATGTTACTATGGCTGATGTCAGATAAATGAATGCCTGTGCTCTTTTCTAGGATTTTTATGGTTTCAGTTTCTACATTTAGGTCCTAAATCAATTTTGAGTTTATTTTTGTGTGTGGTGAAACAAAGCAGTCCAGTTTGTTTGTTTGTTTCTTCTTCCCTTCCTCTCTCATTTGCTTTCTTCCTTCCTTCCTCCCTTCTTTCTTTCTCTCTCTTCTTTGTTTCTTCCTCTCTTTCCTTCCTTCTTTCTTTCCTTGCTTCTTTCTTTCTTTCTTTCTTTCTTCCTTCCTTCCTTCCTTCCTTCCTTCCTTCCTTCCTTCCTTCCTTCTTTCCTTCCTTCTTCCCTTCCTTCCTTCCCCTTTCCCTTTCCCTTTCCCTGTTTCCTTTCCCTTTCTCCCTTCCCTTCCCTTTCCTTTCCTTTCCTTTCCTTTCCTTTCCTTTCCTTTCCTTTCCTTTCCTTTCCTTTCCTTTCCTTTCCTTTCCTTTCTCCTCCTCTTCCTCTCTTTGTTTCTTCCTTCCTTCCTTCCTTCCTTTCTTCCTTTTTGTTTTTTCTTTCTTTCTTTCTTTCTTTCTTTCTTTCTTTCTTTCTTTCTTTCTTTCTTTCTCTCTCTCTCTCTCTCTCTCTCCCTTCCCCCATGCCCCCCCTTTCTTCATGTAGCTGTCCAGTTTTCCCAAGACCATTCGTTGAAGAGACTGTCCCATTGCATATTCTTTTTTTTTCTTCCTGACAGCAATTTATATTGTCTCTCAAAAGGAAGTAGTTGCATGTGATTGGTATGAGAGAAAATATTGTTTCTAATAACAAATCCATTCCAATCAAAACAAACAATAAGCCTAGTGGCATTAGTCTAAGGACAGTGTTACAGCTGTTTTCTGGTGCCATGATTTTGACATGTGCCAAGGTGAAACCTCACTTTTTTTTTTTTTACAACTAGTTTATTGTCAAGTTGGTTTCCATATAATACCCAGTGCTCATCTCCACAAGCGCCCTCCTCCATGTCCAACTCCCCCCTCCTCCCCACACCCATCAGTCCTCAGTTTGTTCTCAGCATTCAAGAGTCTCTCATGGTTTGCCTCTCTCTCTCTACCCCACATTTTCCCCCATTTTTCTCCCCCATGGTCCTCCATTAAGTTCCTCCTAATCCTCCTGTATGTGCAAACATATGATATTTGTCCTTTTCTGCCTGACTTATTTAGCTCAGCATAACACCCACAAGGTCCATCCATTTGCTACACATGGCCAGATTTCTTTCTTTCTCATTGCCATGTAATAATCCATTGTATAAATATACCACATCATCTTGATCCATTCATCAGTTGATGGATGCTTAGGTTCTTTCCATGTTTTGGCTGTCGTTGAGAGTGCTGCTGTGAATATTGGGGTCCATGTGCCCTTATGCATCAGCCCTCCTGTATCCCTTGAGTAAATTCCTAGCAGTGCTATTGCTGGGTCACAGGGGAGTTCTACTGTTAATTTTTTGAGGAACCTCCATACTGTTTTCCAGAGGGGCTGCACCAGTTTACATTCCCACCAACAGTGTAGGAGGGTGCCCATTTCCCCACATCCTTGCCAGCATCTAGAGTCTCCTGATTTGTTCATGTTAGCCACTTTGACTGACGTGAGGTGGTATCTCAGTGTGGTTTTGATTTGCATTTCCCTGATGATGAGGGACGCTGGGCATCGTTTCATGTGTCTGTTGGCCATCTGGATGTCCTCTTTGGAGAAGTGTCTGTTCATGGCTTCTGCCCATTTCTTTACTGGATTATTTGTTTTTTTGGGTATAGAGTTTGGTGAGTTCCTTATAGATATTGGATACTAAACCTTTATCTGATATATCATTTGCAACTATCTTTTACCATTCCATCTGTTGCTTATTTGTTTTTTGGTTGTTTCCATTGCCGCACAGAAGCTTTTTATCTTGATGAGGTCCCAGTAGTTTATTTTTGCTCTTGATTCCCTTGCCTTTTTAAATATGTCAGGTAAGAAGTTGCTGCGGTTGAGGTCAGCGAGGTTGTTTCCTGCTTTCTCCTCTGGGGTTTTGATGGTTTCCTGTCTCACATTCAGGTCCTTTATTCATTTTGAGTTTATTTTGATGTATGGTCTGAGAAAATGATCTAGTTTCATTCTTCTGCATGTTGCTATCCAGTTCTCCCAGCACCATCTGTTAAAGACTCTGTCTTTTTTTCATTGGATACTCTTTCCCATTTTGTCAAAGATTAGTTGGCATACATTTGTGGGTCCAATTCTGAGTTCTCTATTCCATTCCATTAGTCTATGTGTCTATGTGTGTCTATGCGTCTGTTTTTGTGCCAATACCATACTGTCTTGATGATGACAGTAGTAGAGGCTAAAGTCTGGGATGGTGATGCCTCCCGTTTTGGTTTTATTCTTCAATATTACTTTGGCTATTCGAGGTCTTTTGTGGTTCCATACAAACTTTAGGA